TCGACCCATCAACTCATGAACCGGGAACCCCGAAGGAAGGCGTGATCAGATATGTTATGCCTCAGAACATCCCGGCAGCGTTGACTGGGATTGAACCCAGGCCTGCTGGGACGCTTACCACTACACAACGGGTGCCTCTGCTCTCTAGAGTTGTAATCTTGTATCCAAACTTGGAAGCAGGGGATACTCAATATAAATTCTATTCTAACTCTTTTCTGAAATGAACTTGGTTGCCCTGAAAAGTGCCGTTTTGTTACATTGGTGATAAGTTTTAACCTCCGAAAGCGTACAGAATGTGTCCCTGTCGCTTCAGAGCGTAGATGACATCCATAGCCGTGACGGTTTTGCGCTTGGCGTGTTCAGTGTAGGTGACGTCATCACGCATATTTTCTAGAAACACCTTCATCACACCTCGGGTTTCTTCGAAAATCAGACCGGAGACGCTTGACATAACCACGTCGAGCCAGACGACGAATGGCAGGCTTGGGAACACCATGGATGTCGTCTACGCTCTGTACGGTTTCGGGGGTTAAAACTTATCACCAACGTAACATAACTAAGTTCATTACAGTAAAGAGTTAGAATAGAATTTATATAGAGTAACCCATGATTCACCCATTCAATTTGTCACTAAATACATCAAAATGATTAAAAAATCAAACAATTTGTTAGGGAAATAAATTATGTTCTATTTGTAGTCTTATCGGTGGGTTAATTTTTTTCCATTTCACTTTCATTCACTGAGAAACCCTCATCGTATGCATTCTCCTGCTGCGCGACATCTTCGAAAACGTCCGAACCGTAAAAAATTTCGTAGTCCTACGTCAACAATGCGGTTGTGTCTTGTACACCACAATCCAACTTTTTTTATTAAGGACTTAATTCAAGCAAATGTATCTGTAGGATTCCATGTTATCGGTGTGGGCTTTTCCCTCCAAATAAATAAATAAACAGAAATTTCCAATAACTCTAGAAAACGTAGTTTACCTGTAGACCGAGTAAAATTTTCCGAGTCTAATAATTTTTTTCGAATACAACAAAAGTCGTCGAAAAATTTACTCATTCTAGAAGTATGCACTCATGGAAAAAATCACATATCCAATGAAAAATATTCATTAGAATTTCACATAACTTTCATGTAATATCATAATTGGGAATTGCACCACAAAATCACATGAACCTTATGTGTCAAATGAAATTTAAGGGATCCATCATATAGAGCTCATGGGATCACATGTATGTTATGTGAAATTAAGATAGATATTATTGATTTTGTTAATGGAAAAATATTATGTGCATTCCCAATGGAAACTACATGAAAACTTTTTTCCGTGTACTAATTTCATATGTACATCGAGATGTTGCTCATATTAGAAAACAAATTCCTGTTCAGGCTCGGAAAGCTTTACTCAGTCTATGAGTTAACTATGTTTTCAAGAATATGAGTGAACTAATCTCAACTTTGAGTCGACCTAAATTGTCGTGTAATCGTAATTTATCTTTTTATTAATTGCTTTCAACGGATACCTTCCCCTCCAATTAGGTTCAATTCGTTAAAAGCAGGTCGGTATTGCCCGAACATCACTTTTACTGACATTTCAAATAATGCATCTATTTCAAAAAAACTTCGCAAAACTTCTGCTAATTTTATGCAGCCCAATTACAGACAATTATGAAATTCACAGACATTTTTCGCAGACTTCTGAGAAAAATGGCATCTCTGAGGCCCATGTCCAACCACTTTTCATTAGACTCACATCTCTATTGGATGCCCATATCAGACAGCAATCTATGCGCCTGTAATGACTGTTACCACCAGGCATGGCAAATCATTTACCTTCATTTCGTGTGAATAACTCAAATCTTTATCTCTTATGCATGATGAACAAGACTGAACAGAACCCATAATTGTTTTTTTTAGTGAATGTATATTACATACACTGAAAATTAAAAACAAGTTCAACCAGCTCTTGTTCGTCATGCATACGAGGTACAGCTTAAAGTTATTCACAGAAGTTTTAATCAATATTCAACTCTTCAAAAGCTACAAACAACAATCTACGGCGGCGCCGACTATTATTGAACCCAGGCCTGCTGGGATGAGAGGCAATCACTCTTACCACGATACCACCGGCGCCACTATGGCTAGCCGCGATATCGAATATATGAAGTTGATTTACAATTTTCTAAAACGGACCGATTTGAGAATTTAGGAGTCTTTAGTAGTTTTTTTTTATTAATTGATGTGTCAGTCCTCCTATTGTTCTCCCCACATAGCCTCTTTTTTATGTTTCGTTTCAGTTGTCTCGTCAATTGTCTATTCACCTTTCAAGGTTCAGAGCACTTGTCCGCAGTGCTTCTTTTACGTTCATTCACCTATGCAACGGCGACGGAGGTTAAATCGAGAATTCACCCCCATGTACCTTATCCCAAGACCACACCCAACCTGTTGAAAAATTGTTGTCCTTAACCTCAAATAACCCGCAAGTATACAGTCCCCGTTCTACTAACTTGTTAATAAATATTGAATTACGGCTCCACAAAGCTAACGCAATTGAGCTTTGACAATTAAATTTTAATAAAAAATTAATATTTTAAAGCTTGTACAACCAGGAAATCAAATTGTGTTGTGCAAATACCAACTGTACTGCATAATAGATAATACATGATACAACAAGATACGACAAACAAATCACATAAACGTTTTTATTTTTATTAAAAATTATTGTTTATCTGCTTTGATATGAAAAAAAAAATATTCGCAAGTTTTACGCGAATGAATTGAAAATTGTACGCCATTGACCATATCTGCAGTGATTTTTATTTGTAGAATATGCGAAAGCAGATACCGTGCCGATTCAAATCTCGGACACTTAAACTCGAATTTCGGACACTTTTAAAAGTTGATTATCTCGGTCGAATATGATCCACATGTCTTGTAAATTTTAAATTTTTTTGACTAGTGCCCTCCACGATCATCTAACATTATTACTTTGTTTCTAACTGGATGTAATATTTAATTAAAAATGAAAGTGTCCGAAATTTGAATCGTCCGAAATTTGAATCGGAACGGTATTTCGGAACAACAAATTTAGGTTGGATGGACTTTATAAAATACCCCTCCCCCTCCCTCCTTCCCCCTCGTAGACCAGCGTAGACTTTTTGCTACCCCCTACCTCCCCTGAGGCCCAAAAGAAATAACAATTATTAATCAAATCTTCTGTCCACTCGGTCACCAGCTTTTACTCTGCCAACTGTCTTAGAAAGTTGACGTGGTTGCTTACGTCGGGATTGAATTTTGCTCTTGGAATATATTAATTATTAATATTATAATTAATAATTACCCCGTAACGTGGGTAGATCACCTAGGAGAAACTAGGGGAAACAGGATTTTTCAGAAATCAAAGGAACGCATCTTAGTCCTTGTTACTTTTTATGCCTTGTTGACTCGGCTTTGTCCACCGAGGATGATCTTGAAACAAGAACAAAATAGTTAGTTAGTCTTCATCTAAGTGATTCCTAAACTTCTATTCGCTGTTCCCTAGTTTTAAGGTGGATACTCTAAGGAAGCCTTAGCGTGAAACTTCAAAGGCACAAATGTCAGCTTCCACAAAACATACACATTTGAAATTGCTACTCTCTGTTTGTAGTAGCACAGCAAAGAAGGAGTAGCAATTTCAAATTTGTATGTTTTGTGGAAGCAGACATTAGTGCCTTTAAAGTTTCACGCTTAGGCTTCCTTAGAGTATCACCTTAAGTTGTTAAGACTAGGGTTCTGATGCATGGTGATTATCGGTCTCATTGCTTATTTTTGTAGCTCACTCCGAAGGGTATAAATAGCGGGACCTTTCAGTGAAGGTCCACGCACACGATCCGGATCGTACGCGTTGCGGCAAAGTGACAGCTAAATCTGATCTAATGTGTGTGGCCCTTAAGAATCGGTTCCTTGCGATAAACGCAAGAATGACAACATAAAAAAAAAAATGATCGAACACTTCATCATTTCTCAATGGTGATGGAGTAATACGACATGCACTAAATTAAGGACACGGGATATGCTACAATAGATTAAATAATTGGTCGCAGTGGTTTTATGTTCCGAACAGAGGAAAAACTATTATTAATCGTGAATCATTTCACTTGAAATTTTCAACTGGATATTCACCTTCCCCAAAATCCAACTCTTCAAATGACTTGATAATCCATTTAACTATTAAGCTATTAAATACTGTCGAAGCGTTTCCATCGACAGCCGGTATGTAAGGCGGTGAACATAAGAATACACTAAATTAAACTTATCACATTCTGCCCATTTCCCAAATTCGCGGTATCACCTGATGTACACACTGTATCACGTGATTTCCCAATACTATATCACGTGAACCTTTGCACTTGTTCCGCAAATTGGACCAGTTGGCCCTTGCATACAATGCCCCAACACCAACCAATCAGCTTTCATCAATCCACTCTGGAAATTACACGCCCCCTTACACAGGCTATGTCTCAAACGTGCTGATATTAATCTTCATTCAACATGCCATCGTCCGATTGGGAAAGTATGACAGTGAACTTCAATTTATCGGCCCGCCGTACTAACGCCAATCTGTCAATGTCAGGCCACGGCCAATTCGAAGAGGTAGGTATGTCACAAAAAGTAAACATACATGATAAAGCAAAAATAGCCTTCCTGCCTTTTCCACACTCTTCCCATTTTCGAGAACGCGTGGGAACCGGTTATCACCTGAGCGTCTGTTGTAGGAAGAGTTCATGATTTGACCATAACGGAATACAGTGCAGTGACACTTACGACAGCGGAATTAATTATCAAACTGTGTCCCCGCACCGCGTGTCTTCCCCCCTTCTATTATACCTTTGAGAGTTGAAATTGATAAAGCCGAACCGGCGCGGAAACAGGTTTCAATGGCCTATATAAGCCGGTACCAGTTGGTCATTAGAAATCGAACAGGCACTTTTCCAAATGCCAGCCGCTAATCGAAATTAAGAGGAGGTTTTCGGTGGTCGGTACTTTTTCTAGAAGATCAGTCGGTGGCAAACCGCAACTGGGTGTGGAGATGATCTCGCTGAAGACGTTGGGCCTTATGGCCTTGCTGCTGGGTGTGAGCTGGGCCTATCAGGTCAAACCGAGGAACTACCACAAGCTGGTGGAGCAACAGAAGAAGTTTAATGGTAGTATTTGTTAGGTTGGATTTTCTTTTCTGGAATGTAATTTTGCTTTATTATTAGATCGATTCGAGAAGGAATTCTTGACCGAGCATCTGAAGTATACGGAGACTGGGGTCAAATCGGTTAGGCTGAGCGAAATGTTTGATCATCTACGACAGAAGCCGGACATGTTCCGACAAGAGCTGGATAACCACCCACTCCCCTACCAGACGACGGAGTGTACGGCATGTCGGGCTTTGGTCACCACTTACCTAACATACCGTCGAGTCTTGAACTGGGATCGTGACCGCATTGCAGCTCAAGCTGCATCCACCTGTGATACGTTGGCGATCCTCTTGCCGGAAAACTGTGTGAAGGTTATTGATAAGAACATTGACATTTTCCTGTACATCATCGACAACAGGCCAAGCCTGACGGCGCAGACTATTTGCGGAGTAATCTTCCAGTCCGGAGCGTGTGTCTTGGAAGATCGGGAATTCCTGGATTGGACCATAAACGTGGCTCCAGGAGGCACTCCTATTACATCGTCCAAGACGGGATCTAGTCGAGGCCCGAATGATTTAAAGATTGTTCATCTGACTGATTTGCACTACGATCCTCACTACCGCACAGGTTACAACGCAGTCTGTGGTGAGCCATGTTGCTGTCGTGAAGCTCAAGGAATTCCGGAGAACCCGGATGAGAGAGCTGGAGAATGGGGAGATTACCGTGACTGTGACTCGCCTTGGAAGGCTGTTGAGGATGCGGTTCGCGAAGCAGGTCGTCGACATCCGGATGCTGCGTACGTGTACCATACGGGAGACATTATCGATCATGGCGTATGGGAAACGACCATACCTGGAAACGTTCGTTCGATAACTCTCACGATGAATCTACTGAAGGATGTTTTCGGTAGTACTCCGGTGTACAACGTGTTGGGAAACCATGAGATCACTCCAACCAATGTGTTTGCTCCAAGTCATATCGATCGGCCTGATTTCTCGCCAAGTTGGGTCTACGAACTGGTTGCCGATCAATGGGAAAGCTGGCTTCCAGCGGCAGCAAAGCAGACCATTCTTGAAGGAGGATACTATACCGCTTTGGTTCGACCAGGATTCCGTGTGATTGGACTCAACAACAATGATGCTTACACCTTCAACTGGTGGATTCTGTACGACCCCGCGTACATGCGAGGACAACTGCAATGGCTGCACGATACTCTGCTGGAAGCCGAAAGGGCTGGCGAGAAGGTTCATATCTTGGCTCACATCCCTATTGGTGCTGGAACGAGTTTCGTAACCTGGGCCCGCCAGTATCGCCGGATTCTGGATCGTTTCTGGAACACCGTGATGGCACACTTCCATGGACATACGCACGCCGATGAGTTCAACATATTCTACTCGGCTTCGAACCCTCAACATGCTATCAATGTGGCCTTCAACGGAGGTGGAACCGTTCCCTTCAGTAACTTCAACCCCAACTATGTGGTTTACTATGTTAATCCTCAGACTTACGTAAGTATGCTATTGAGTAATATTTGAGGATTGCTGGTAATTCGAAAATTGTCAAATCAACTTTTAGGACGTCACCGACTTTGAGTCTTTCTACTTTAACCTGACCGAGGCAAACCTCAACCCAACGAGAAACCCCCTCTGGACGGATCTGTACTCGTTTTCGCGGGACTTTAACATTCCCAACGTATCCCCAGCCTCGTTGGATACCCTAGCCCGTCGTTTCGGATCAACCCCTTCGGAGTTGAATCGCTACTGGGAGATGAAAGTGAAACGTGGCGACCCCTTCCTCGAGCAGGGCTGTGACGGTGAGTGCCTGTTGAACCACCTGTGCGAAATCGTTACCAACGAAGCTAACGACGACCAGAAGTGCAACGAACTGGTTGCTGCATTCCGCCAAATCGACGACGATAAGTGGAACTGGAAAAAGTAATAAATTGATTTGCCAAAGTGCATCTCGATATTTATATACTGGTATGATGATTTTTTATTGGAAGAGAAATTGCCCATACTACCGCACTACCTCGCAACATTTTTGCGCTTGTTGATTGATGGTGTCCCGATAAGTGGTACATATTTTGTGATAACGTTTGCTGAAGTATCTTTGAGCTCGTATAAAAGAAGCTGTACATAACGGGAATCCGGTAGTTAGTGGTTTCCATAGCCACTTGCAAGTTAGAGGTTGAGCGGATACTAGTCGTGAATATGAAGTTGCTTTTAGCAGCTCTGCTGGTGGGGCTTCTAGTGGCCACCGGTCAGGGGTACCAGGTCAAGCCAAGTGACTACAATCGGACGATTCAACAGCTTCAAGGGGAATACGGTAAGTACTAGTGACGTTAGTTATAGGTTTGTTGTTCTGCATATTGAGTGGTTTGGTTTATCAATGCTTCTTCAGAAGTGTAAATAACCTTAATTGAGCAATAAACATCTCAAGTAGCTTGTCGTTCGCATGATGGTGTGAAGTAGTCATTTTATTAAATAGTAATTAGTGTAAACTTGTCGACGCGCAGTTCGATCGGAAGATGAATTCCGTAGGGAATTCCAAATCTGGCGAAAAACCGGCGTGAAGACAGCTCATTTCAGGGAAATGCTGGATGCCTGGAAGTTCACCGAGGACCAACGTCGTATGGAATTGGAGGATCTGCCAGTGCAAATGGAGGGAACCGTATGTATGCTGTGCCGGTCCATTGTTGGACAGCTGATGGATCAGCGTCGACAGGGAGCTACGCGGGAAGATCTCTTCGCTACTGCCTACGAACTGTGCACTACGCTGCAGATCCAGGAGCCTGATGTTTGTTACGGTGTCATCGAACTGAATATCGATTTCTTCCTGTTCATTTTCGATGATCGACTAACGGTTGGTGCTGATACGGTGTGCGCTGTAGTGTTCCAGTCGTCAGCTTGCATCTTGTCCGATCCGGAATTTATTGATTGGAGTGTGAACGTTGATGCTCGCAGCACTCCAATTACTGTAAGTATCGTCGGAACCTTGCGTGTCCCCTTTATAAACATTTAACAATCTTAAATTCTAGGGTTCGAAGCACTTCCCGAACGCACGTGGTCCGAACGATATTAAGATTGTCCAGATAACCGATTTGCACTATGACCCGCTGTACCTGGTGGGCCACAATGCTGTTTGCAATCGGCCTGCTTGCTGCCGCAGTGATCAAGGTATTCCGGAGAATCCCGCAGAACGTGCCGGAAAGTGGGGAGATTATCGAGACTGTGATTCTCCGTGGGATGCCGTTGACGACGTGATCGAACATGTAGCGGAGCACCACTCCGATGCAGCATACATCTACCACACTGGTGACATTATCGACCATGGTGTGTGGGAAACTTCGATTGGACACAACATTCAAAGCATGAACCGCGTTTACGCAAAACTGTTGCAAAAATTCCCCAACAAACCCGTGTTCAACATCATTGGTAACCACGAAGCTCATCCCACGAACGTGTTCGCTCCTAGCACGCTTAACCAACAGCAGTTCTCGATGGAATGGCTCTACGCCTATTCAGCTGACATGTGGGGCAATTGGCTACCCATGGCTACTCAGAATACCATCCGTCATGGAGGATACTACACAACTCTTGTACGCCCAGGATTCCGCATCGTTGGTATGAACAATCAAGATTGCTACACCTTCAACTGGTGGATCCTTTGGAAACCGGAATATTTGGCAAGCCAAATGCAATGGCTGCATGACGTTCTACGACAAGCTGAACTGAACAACGAAAAGGTTCACATCCTAGCTCACATTCCGTACAGCTCCTCCGGATCGACCTTCCGTACTTGCCAGCGCGAATTCCGCCGCATCGTTGAACGCTTCTACGACACAATCAGTTCTCAATTCAATGGACACACCCATCGCGATGAGTTCAACGTGTTCTACTCGAGAGAAAATCCCGCTCATGCCATCAACGTCGCATGGAACGGAGGCAGTACCACGGCCTTCAGCGACGTCAATCCAAACTACATTGTTTACTACGTTGACCCGGAAACATACGTAAGTTATTCATTAAACTCCTAGATCGATTATCTTCGGAAAACTGACAGCATCCATCCCTCCCAACAGCAAGTGACCGATTTCGAGTCGTACATCTTCAACATGACGGACGCGAACCGTTTCCCAGATCGTCGTCCCGATTGGTTCCAGCTGTACTCGTTCGCACAGGAGTTCAACATGCACAACCTCAGTCCAATGGAAGCAGATATTATGGTCAAGCGGCTGGGAACGCCAGCCGGACGGGAAGAACTACGGCGGTACTGGCAATTTAAGGTGAAGATGGGAGATCCCTCGTTGGATGCTGGCTGTGATGATGATTGCTTGCTGAATCATCTCTGCCAGGTCGTAGTCTCCGAAATGGGAGACGATGTCAAGTGCGATGAACTGCGGACGACATTCTTCGGTTGAATAAAATATTCAGACGATTTATCCTGTGTTTGTTTCCGCTGCTTGAAACTCGATTGGATTTCAACGTCCTTGACGTAAGCCTTTTGTTTTGGCAGATCAGTTAGCGTTACATAAGTTGGTTGTATCAGGAAGGTGAGTTTGGTGAGCATGTTGTCGTTTACATCTTGTACAATAAATTAGATGTGAACGCAAACGAACGAAACAGAGCAAATCCAACGCCAACTAGAATAAAACTTCGCATAATTGGCTGCTAGGGACAATGAATCAAGTTTGTGCTGTAATTTGGCCATTTTGACTGACGCGAAATTTTCCAAAATGGTGTGTTCGATATTTTTCTATAAATAATAGTACACAGCAAAAAAATAATTTTTATATCACATCAAAATTGATGCACTTTAATCGTGTCAAAAATATGGTGTAACATTACTTGTCAAAAAGGAAAAAAAAATATCATGAATACAGTGCATGAACTGACGTTACGCTTTTACTACATTTGTTTATTTTTGCGGCCATACAAATTACGTAACATTTTCGGCATGATTGAAGTGCATCTTCTTGGATTTAATATTAAAATTTATTTTTTGCTGTGTAATGTTAATGGCGTCTAAGACAAAATTATAGGAAATTGGATTGCCTTAAAAAAAAAATAAATAAAATAAAAAATAAACTGATAAAAAACACAATTAAAAAAAACAGGCAAGAAACTGTTAAAATTTTAAAACTTCAAAAAAACTACATTTTTATCTAATAACAAAGCTAATCAAACATGTACATTTTTATTATATTGAACAAAATGGTCACTTTAAAATAAACCAAAATCGTAGACCATCATTTTTCAGTGGATCTTTTGAACTTTTCTTTCCTCGTAATACCTATGAAACTTGTGCATAGGAAGTGACTACAAAAAATGTTGTCTGCATTAACAACAATACAAATTATTTGTGAAAAATAAGTTCAAAATTTTTACTAAAAGATGATGTTCTCCAATTTTGGTCAATTTCAAAGTGTCCATTGTGTACAACTTAAGAAAAGTTAGCAATTTTGATAAGCTTTCAAATAACATAAGTTTAAAAATCACACAAATGTGCTGTTTTGTTTGATTGTGTTTTTAACAGTTTGTATTTTTTTTTGACAAAAATTTCTGATTTATTTTTGAGTGTGTATTTTTGGAAAGGCTATGTCGTTTCCTACAACTTTGTCTCAGATGTCATTTCGATTAGATATACCGTTTTCGTGCTATGATGTATTGAAAAATATCAAATACGACATTTCTAGAAATTAGGCGAGAGTCAAAATGGCCGCATTCCACCACGAACTTAGTCCATTGCCCCTAGCGAACAATTATGAAATTAGTAGAGATTAAAGCAAAATCGATTTTTCAGCTGGCGTCAGCAATTAAAATAAAAAAAAAGTGAAAAAGGGTCTGTGCCTAGAGGCACCGCTAGTGGACCGAACAAATGTGAAGAGCATTTCGTTCTTTTAACACTCTAAATACGATGGGTAAAATACTTTATACCTACTACGAAGCCTCCGAAAAACGTGTAACAGCAAGTTTGCAATGACATAACATAGCCATTTCTTGATGAATTTAAAAAATTGTGGTACCTCTAGAATTCTTAGACTCTGTAAATTATTGCAATTGAAAATAGGGTCGTCTACTTTTTTCAAAAGCGAAAAGAGTCGTTACACGTTTTTTTTTTACGTAGGAATACGTCTGTGATTTCTATATGGGGGTACACTTTGTGAAAACCGAAAATGGAACATGTAACAAATTATGAAAGATTTTGAACGTTAATAACTCAACTGTCCCTTTTCCGCCATTACCCAACAAAGAAAAGAAGAACAAAAAAGCTGCTCCTCAAACTTCTCAAAAGAAATCCAAGTCCGAACGAGGTTTGCTAGCTTTTTAGGACATTGTGGAATTCATATTAAATATGTTCAACATACAAGACCCTCTTAGAAGCTTAGTTTCTGCCTTGCTTCCAACATTAGAATCATATCTTAAGCAATTGACTGTTTCATGGCCTCTCCTTGCATCAATCATATCTTCCGAAGAATAATTCGGCGAACAAGGTTGAAGATATGATCACTCAGGAACTGCCGTAGTTTAGTGGCTAAACTAGACTCGTTTAAATGTTTACTTCACAATTCAGAACTCAACTTCCACGATTTTAACATTATTCGCCTGGATAGAGACGATTCTTATGGAGGAGTACTTTTAGAGATCAAAAAGTGCTACCCTTTCTAAAAAAATTTCCTTCCTGCTCTATCAAGCGTCGAAATCATCGCTTGCCAAATAAATGTGAAGAACAAAAATCTTTGCATAGCTTCAGTATATGTTCCACCAACAACCTCCATTAGCCGTAGTCAACTCTGGAATCTAGTTTCGATTCTTCCATCCCCAGTATTATTTATAGGTGATTATGAACTCCCATGGAACTGGGTGGGGCGATCTATACGATGACAATAGAGCGGCAATTTTTTACGATTTATGTGACGATTTCTACTTGACTATTTTGAACACTGGTGAAGTGACACGTATAGCTAAACCTCCGGCTGTGGAAGGTTCTCCATGATCCCCACACAGTTCGAAAAAGTAGTGTAAATTTCTGTTCAATATGATGCGCATAAAAGGAGCGTCACATATCATCTAAGTTTACATTATAAACCGTGTAAAGTTCTGAGACATTTCATGAAATGTTGCAAATATTTTATATAAAAGCCCTTATTTGTAAACAACATTGCTTACAAGTTGCTCGTTTGCGTGCATTGAAATACAAGTTTACGTGAATGAATGTTTACATCACAATTATAATTCAGAATTTTTTGCTGTGCATGGTAGCGATCATTTGCCAATCATCATTCCAATTAAGTGTGGCCCTCAATCTGCAGAACCATCTCGAGAGAATATCGATTCCTCGCCGATTTGATATACAAAAGCTCTCTGGAAGCACAAAAAAGAAAAGTTCCAAGTGCACCCTTCAAAAGGAGACCAGCCACACCTGGATGGGACGAAGAATGCACAAAATTGTATGTAGAAAAATCTCATGCTTTCAAAGCTTTTCGTAGACACAAAATCTCCACATACTTCGAGGAATATTCAAAGCTTGAGGCAAAGCTGAAACAATTAATCAAAGCAAAAAAAACAACGCGGTTATTGGCGCAATTTCGTAGAGGGACTCTCACGAGAAACCTCAATGACCACCTTGTGGAGGGTGGCTCGCAACATGCGTAACCGCTCATCTTCTAATGAGAGTGAAGAATACTCCAACCGATGGATATTCGATTTCGCTTAAAAGGTCTGTCCGGACTCAGTTCCAGCACAACACATTCTTCGAGAAGCGTCTCCGAGCGGCAGCTCTCTGGATAGACCATTCACAATGCTGGAATTCTCTATGGCTCTTCTTTCATCGAACAACTCCTCACCGGGAAGCGATATGATTAAATTCAATCTTCTGAAAAATCTCCCAGATATCGCTAAAAGACGCTTTCTAGACTTATTCAATTCCTTACTAGAAAACAACATTATACCGCCTGAATGGAGACAGGTCAAAGTAATAGCCATTCGCAAACCTGGTAAACCAGCATCTGACCATAACTCATACGGTCCAATTGCGATGCTTTCGTGCATTAGGAAATTGTTGGAGAAAATAATCCTTCGGAGACTCGATCAGTGGGTCGAAACAAATAACTTGCTATCAAATACAAAGTTTGGGTTCCGCAAGAGCAAAGGAGCAAACGATTGTCTAGCGCTGCTTTCCACAGATATTCAACTGGCCTTTGCGCACAAGAAGCAATTGGCTTCAGTATTCTTGGACATTAAGGGGACTTTTGATTTAGTTTCCATTGAAATCGAGGTTCTGGCTGGAGTAAAACGCCTCCTGAACCGTTTCTGGGAGCTCTCTCTCAGAATACTAATCAAATCCGGAGTGACAAACACACTTATAATTGAAAATTTTGAAGAAATTCTTGGGCTGAACATACAATCTCGATTTATGAGAATCTACCACCACTGCATATCCTCGGATATGTGTCTTCCTTGTTATACTCCAGACCGTGCTCACGTCACCGATCGCAGTTCCTCAATTGAATATGATCTGTCCATGAAACAAGTGATTCATGGGATTCCAGATCAACTTCGAACTATTATTATCCCGCGTATTTTTACTGAAAAGTACCAACACGTCAATTGCGTGAAAAGATATTTTACAGACGGGTCACGTCTCAATGGATCCACTGGCTTCGGTGTCTTCAATGAAAACTCTAGCGCCTTCCGCAAACTCCAGGAACCTTGTTCTGTTTATGTTGCTGAGCTGGCAGCAATCAACTTCGCATTGGGGATGATTTCCAACATGCCCGCAGACCATTACTTCATCTTCTCGGATAGTCTCAGTTCGGTTGAGGCTATTCGGTCGATGAAACAAGGTAGGCACTCATCTTATTTCCTTTCAAAGGTAAGGGAGCAGATGAGTGTACTGGTCGAAAGATCATATATGATTACCTTTGTATGGGTCCCCTCACATTGCTCAATCCCAGGCAATGAGAAGGCGGACTCTCTCGCAAAGGTGGGCGCGCAGGAAGGCGAATTTTATGACAGGCAAATTTCACAGGATGAATTTTACCATTTAGTGCGTCAGAGTACCCTTTCGAGTTGGCAAACCGATTGGGACAATAGAAATCTTGGACGGTTCAATTATTCCTAATGTTTGTTCGAGAGTGTGGTTTAAAGGTTTGAGCTTAAGTCGTGACTTCATTCGCGTGATGAGTAGACTTATCTCCAACCACTACTCGCTAGATGCTCATCTTAATAGAATAAACCTCGTGGACAGCAATATCTGTCGGTGTGGAAACGGTTACGACGACATCGATCACGCAGTTTGGCAATGTACGGATAATGACGCCGCCAGAGAGCGACTTTTGAATACCCTCGAGGCCCAAGGAAGACAACCCTATGTTGCTATCAGAGACGTGTTGGGTACCCGCGATCTCTGCTATATGCAGTCGATGTCTAGTATGAAA